ACACCAGGAGGTGCGGGCCGTGAGTTCAGGCGGCCCCCTGGAGTGAAACAGCTCCCTCGTATCAAGCACCTGCCATGCGCCAGACACCACCTGTGCGACCTCTTTTAATGCTCACAGCAACCCCGAAAGGGGCCCATTGCCCCACATTTCATGGGTGGGCCTGCTGAGCAGTGACATGGAGAAACCAGCCCAAAGCTACATGACTGGGAGGTCGCAGAGCCAGGGCAGAACTGGGCTCTCTCTGACTCAGAGCCGGTGCCCATCACCGCCGAACGGGGCCCCAGACCAGCCAGGCATCTCTGTAGGCTCCCCGGCTGCGGGCCCGGCGCTCCCCTGGCTCACCGGGGCAGCGTGGGCCTCTTCTCCGCAGCTGCGCCAGTGTGGTGGGCTGCGTAAGGCTGATTGGGGATGTCTGTGCATTCCCCAGGGCCTTATCGTTTTTCCTCTACATTAAAAGAAAAATGTCTTGTTTTTAGTATGCAAAACTTTCCACCATCTGCTTTGCCTTGGCAGAGTGTTTGCTGAAAATCTCCCTCTTCCTCTCTGATTCCCATAATGTCTGGGGGCTTCGGGAGCCTCCGAGCAGGGCAGCGGCAGCAGCTCGCAGGTGCCTCCCGGGCTCCCCGGCGGCCACTGTCCTGGAGCCGGGCAGGCGGGTGTTGTGGGGTCCAGAAGTCGCATCTCCCCACCTCTCGGCCAGAGAGGGGCAGGGGGGTCTCTCCACTGATGGAACAGAGAGGGCCTGAAGGTGAATCCTAGAGTCCAGACCCAGAGTAGCTGTCCAGGTGGTATGTGATGAAACCCTGAGGGTAGAGGCCCCGGGTCACAGAGAGAGGTGGTGACAGAGCAGAGCCAGGAAGCCAGTCCCCCAAATCCCAGTGCAGGCTCATGAGGTCAAGTGGCCAGTGTCCCGCCAGTCCCCTGACCATCCCAGGCCAGGTGTTCCACAGGGCTGCAGTGGCCACACCTGTCCTTTCAGGCGTCTGGAAAGATGTTAGAAAAGGGAAGACTTCCCCCCACCTTCATGTGCCAAAACTCTTGAGTTTCCATGGAGACAGTCAAATTGCAAATTCATCCAAGAGTGAGCCAGGGGTGGGGGGGTTGGGGGAAGCTGGCCGATCCCCGGAGAAGTGGGCGGGGCTGGTGCTTTCATCCTTAGCAGCAGACGGCCCTTCTGGAGCAGGTGGGGGAAATCTCAGAGATGCCGGCCCCGGGCCAGAGGGCCAAGGGCTCAGGCCTCTGGAGGGGAGGGCCCTCCGTCCTCCCCGCCTCGAGGCAAAGCCCAGGTGAATCCCTTTGGCGACACCTCCTTGGGGAAGTTCTTGAGACAGTCTTCCTCCTGATGGGTCTTCCCATCTGAAAAATCAGATGTGAGCAGCACAGGAGCATTCATCACCCAGCTCCCCTGGACTCCGCCTTTGGTAATTAGAGGGGGAGAAAAGCAGCCTTCAGACATACAGCGTTTGGGTGAGGGTGGAAGAGCAAGGGCCAAAAGATTTATGAGGCTAAACGCTTTGTTAACAGACCTGAACGATTTACAGCCACAGCGGCCGTGCAGGCGGGAAGGTGGCTGCAGCCATCAGACGGCAAACTCGCCGAGGTCCGGGCCTCACGGAGCCCTCGAAGCGCCGCGGCCTGGCCCCACCTCGAGATCCCAGACACAAGGCGCTGAGATGCTTGAGCCAAGGGAGATGCACCCGCGAAGGGAGTGAGTCTCGTTGGCCGGCCGCTGCTCTGCCCCGTGATGCCTCCGTGAGCTCCTCACTGGGGCTGTCCCCACCTTCCGTGGCCGGAGCCCTTTGGGGTCTGAAAGGAGACAAAGAACAAGCCAACCAACTGTCACTTGAGGAGGTTTTATTTTTTCAAAACCTTGTGCAACAAAGGAGCCCCAAGGGATGTACACGACATGGCGCCCGAACCCACCTCCAGGGTGATGCTTTGGACAAGGCGCACCCCCCACGAGGAAAACTGCTCTCCCAGAGGGCAGCCCAGCACAGCCTTCTTGCAGTTTAATCCCACGCCCACGCCCAACCTAACGCTGTGCCTGGGTACGACAGGTGACAGGAGAGGAGGGGGCTAAAGAAGTGTGATAAGTGAGCTTGCCCCTGTGACCCAGGCCCTGGGACAGTCCTTCCCATTGCCTCTTTGGAGTTATTGGTACTTTTGTGCTTTTTTGGCATCCGCCTGTTAGCACCAAAGAATCCTGGTACTGTTTTAACGCCATGGAGCCCCATGTCCTCGCTGCCCCAGATTTATGAAGATCCTGAACGTCAAGCGTGGGAGAGACGGGACACTCCAAGTCGGAAAGGAGGCGTAGATCATAGGTCCTTAAGCGTCTCTGCCAGAGAGATAGGGAGACCAACGTGAGACCAGTCACCAGTCACCGTGCCCTCCCAAGGGATTCCCACTGCTTCCCCGGCTGCTGGCCCCGCCCCCACCCTGCCACTGGGGGGGGGCAGATCCTCTCTGATGCCTTTGCCGCTGCCTCCACTGCCGCCCACTCCCTCTGTCTGGGGGCCCATAGGGTTGGTGTTTAGTCAGTCAGTGAGTCAAAAACACGTAAATGCTTCTAGAATTGACACCGGTTGTGTCTGGTCTCGGTGGAGTCACCGTCATAGAAACCCGGTCCAGGACCTGAAAGACAACTGCAAAGTCAGGCCTTTACTTCTATTTCTCAGCTACGGTGAAAGAGGCGTGTGGACCACCGGCCCCCAGGCCCTGCCTCTTCTTGATTCCACAGCACAAAAGCCCAAGAAGCCCTCCCTGAGGGCAGGGGAGGGAAAGAAACAGGGCAGAGGAGGCAGAAGAGTCCGGAGCAGAGGTGCGCCTCGCTCTCGCCCCTCCCACACAGGTCAGACTCTGCAGAAGAAGCACACAGGCCTGACGCAGAGTGTGATTTGGCCCCTGCCGGAAAGGAGCCTCAATTCTGCTGGGGGCGGCCACACCCACAAACACGTACATCAGAACGTGGTCGGTACAGGTGTAGCAGAATGCACAGGGCACCTGGAGGAGGTGGTGTCCACCTGAGCCAGGAGAAGAGCAATGGGCGAGGCGCCCTGGGCAGAGGTGGGCAGGAGGTGCACACTGACGCTTTGGCAGGAGCTGCAAACCGGTGGGGCCCGGGGACCTGGGTCAGGGGAGCAGGCTGCGTGGGACGAGGCCGGACGAGCAGACGAGAGCTCGGGCTTGATCCCACAGATGATGAGGAGCCTTCGCAAAGGCGTGACTAGGACTTGTGTACTCGCTGGAGAGAGAGGTGAATGGGTACTCCGCGCGGACCAGCAAGTTGAAATACATCTGAGAGGACGGACAGAAGGATGGACTGCCGTCCCAGGGGAGCCCTCCTTCCTGCTGCCTGTTAATGCAGTCTCAGCCTTCTCCGCCCACGCTGCTCCAGCGGGGTCTGGAGGATCAGACGAAACCGCTTAGCCACCCTTGGTGTAGATCAATTTTGTTTCCAATCTCCTCTCCCACAAATGGGTCCCTGTGGCACTGGGTTGTTTGGCAGGTTGAATAAGATAATGCTCGCTGGGCGCCCAGCACAGCGCCGGGCGGAAAGCGCTCAACCCTGCTAACCGCCCTCTGTGACCAGCGCTCCGCACCCCCTGCATCAAACCTGAGTCTCATTATCCTGCCGCTGAGTGAGCCAGTCACCCGTGAGAGCTGCTTCCCTGAATCCCAAGCCTTGCTGCGAAGTTGTACCTGTTATAATTACATCATTTAGTTAAAAGTTATGTAAAGTCGTGAAAAGAATCAGAAAAGACAAAGAGTTGTTATTAAAGCTGAGACTCTGGAAAGCCTTCCTTCGGCAGCCACTTGCTTAAAATAGCTATTGAATTAGCTGTGGGCAGGACAACTGTGAAAACAGGAGGAAGAAATGGGAAAGTGGAGGATTCTGCCCTCGTCTTGCGTTGCCCCTGCCTCCAGCTCGGCTCCAGCGTACAGACGCCAGACCTGGACTCACAGACGCCGGGCCTGGACTCACAGACAGCTGAGCGTGGGTGCAGTGCAGGCTTGAAAGACAGGGTGGACCCAAGCCCGAAGGAGCACCCAGGCTCTGCAGCAAAAGATTGGCGAATGGATGTACATTTCTACGCTTAAAGTTAAAATAGAACGTTTAACATATGAATGTATCCTGTATTGTGACTCCCACCGGTGACAAAGCAGCCAAATGCAGTTCCATTTAGTCCAGAAAAGAGGGTTTCTGCCACAGTGGGTGCTGACTGTGAGGGATTTTCTCCTCTCCCCTCTCCTGGGGCTCCAACCCCATCAGCCGGCTCCCTTCTGCTGCACCCACGAGACCCCGCTGTGAGTTACTGGGTGAACTGGGATGCGAGCCCAGCCTGCTGGCCCCCAGGTCCATCCTGCCGGCAGAATCGGCATGGTCAGGGACACAGGCTGTGGAGCCGACTGCAGGGCTGGATCCTGGCTGCTCCACTTACTATACTGGGCAAGTGCCTCAGTTTCCTCACCTGTAAAATGGGGGCCATGCTGTTTCTGACCTGACAGGGTCGTTCCGAAACATCAGTGGGTTAGCAAGTATAAAGCGCAAGAGTGTCCCGTAGGGATTGGCGAGGGCCGGCACTGCCGTGACTACAGAGCGACACCTCGCACCTCTCGGTGTGGCTGGGTGCGGGGCTCCGAGCGTTGGTGCCTCCACCAGAGGGGCTCGTCGGCTCCTATCCCAGCGGCAGACTTCCAGTTCCACCACAGGGAGCAGGTAACGTGGAGATGGCGAGCCCTCCCCACTGGTCCTGGTCATGCTGGGCCGGAGTTCCAGCCTCCTCACCTCAGGACTCACCTCTCCAATTGGCAGAAAGGGGCAGCCTGCTGCCCCATCCCCAGGCCACTGTTCCTGTGCCCCAAACACACAGGCCAGCTGAGGTTCTGTGCCACCGTGTCCTGGCAGGAGGGAGGTCTGCCTGGCCCCCTCTGTCCAACATGTCTGCTAGTGGTGGCCCATAGCGGTGACCTCCTGTGCTGGCGTCTCTTCTTTCCAGTGGTTTCCAGTGACAGTGACAGCGACTCGGACCTCAGCTCCTCCAGCCTGGAAGACAGACTCCCGCCCACCGGGGACAGAGACCTGAAAGGCGACAAGTTCTGCAGGGAGTCAGGTGAGTGTGGGAAGCACACTGCCGGTGCAGGGAGCTTTGCTGCTTCCCTGGGCCTCCGCTCCCCTCGGGTGTTGGCAGGGTTTTTCTGGATCAGGAAGGAGAAGTAGCCCGGGGTCTGGGACAACCAGGAGCTAATGTCTTAGCACCAGTGAGGACTGGGCCCGAAAGGCCGCTTGGGTGCGTATTCAGTAGAGGGAGGGGCGGGTCCAAAGGCCACCCTGCCCCTCGGCCTGCACACCGGGCCTTCCTCCCTCGACTCCCTGTGAGCATCCCAAATGAGGTGCGGCCACGTGGCTGATGAGACTGTGAGAGTCAGGTGAAGTTGTCCGGACTGGCTCGGCGCCGCCAGCAGCCTGCGGTGGGAACCCGGGTACATGCGTACTGTGACCTCTTGGGCCTCCACTTCCCGCCAGTTGGCACAGACAGGACGGAGCAGGGGTCTCCAAAGCTGCTTCTGAATTTAACATCTCTGAGCTCTCCTCAGTGACCCTGCTGTTTGAAAGAGAATTAATCAGGGCCCCTGCTGGTGTGGCTCAGTGGATTGAGGGCCTGCTCACTGAAGGGTCGCAGGTTTGATTCCCTGTTGGGGCACACGCCTGGGTTGTGGGCAGGTCTACAACTGAGGGCATGTGAGAGGCAACCAATTAGTGTTTCTCTCACATACCAGTGTTCCTCTCCCTCTCTTTTTCACTCTCTTCCCCTTTCTCTAGAAATAAATAAATAAAATCTTTTAAAAAGAGAGTGAATTAACCAGGCCTCGAAGCTGGTGCAGACAAGGCCTGAGGGCACATGTGCCTCTTCTTTAAATCCGCAAAGGGCCTCCCTGGGAAGAGGGCCAGCTTCATTCAGAGTTACTCCAGAAGTTAGAACTGGGATATTTGAACAATGTGTCAGGAAGGCTCATTTCAGTGCCTGAGAAAGCTTTATAATAATTGCCCCAACCTGGAATGAAATGCCCCGGGATGCTGTCCTGGGTCAAAGGCTGGGTGACCTTGTGCCAGAGCTGACATGGAAGGAATTCCTGCTGGGATGACAGTTTGGGCTGGACCAGAGATGGCACATGCCTTGCACACGTACTCGTACTTCCACTCCTGGGCCCATGGCAGGCATTACTAGTTGATCAGGATACGTTTTTCCACCGAGCCTGACTTGGTCTCAGAATCCTGCTCTGTGCAGTTTTCCAAGTGGTCAATGTCAGAGATGACGTGAGGATGAAAACTGTTCCCAGACTAGATGATCTCTTCGGCCCCTTAGGCCAAAGATTCTACCTTAGGAACGTGTGAAGGAAGCCTTGGTTTCCAGACCGGGCTCTACACTCCCCTCCTCGTTCCTCCCTTCACACCAGCTCCCAGCTCTGACCAAGAGGCCCAGTGGCGAGGAGAAGATGGAGCAGAGTGTCACAGGCCCCAGCTCTGCTCTCTCGGCCGGGCAAGGACTAAGACATATTTGAGTGAGGATCCTTGAGTTAGTAAAGGCAGCAACTAATAACCCATGGAGCTCACTGAAATATATACCCTGCCCCCCGCACATTCTCATTCTCTGAAGGCAAGAAAAATTCCTCCTCGTGGCCAATTTTCATGTTGGTGACTTGACTTGCTCCTAGTGAAAGGTCCTGAGGGCCCACTTGGTGGCTCTTATGCGAGTTATGATGGACCCATCCGCAGCAGCCAGAGGGTGGGGTCACCTAGAACATGGCAGCCCTGTGAGGGCGGGAGTGGCAGTTCCCAGGGTGAGGGGCTCTGGGCAGACGGTCCCACAGACACCCATCATGAATCCACGGAGAAGGCTGTACGTCAGCTCAGTCAGGCCGAGATCATCCCAGTCTCAGTTTATGACCGGAAGGGCCCAGCCCTGAGCCATTTGGGCTCACACAGGTCTCTTGCAGGTGGCAGCATGGGGTCCCCCAAGATGGAGCTGGCCCGCCCACCCAGCCACCTCTCGGGAAGCCAGAGCAGCCTGGCCAGCGAGACTGGGACCGGCTCTGCGGACCCACAGAGGGGCACCCCGCCCTGGCCCGACCCAAAGGGCCCCAGTGAGTACCCAGCCACTTCTAACCCCCACCCACTGCCTCTCCCTCTGCCCCTCCCCCGGGCCCTCCTCCTCTCCCACCCAGTCCTCCCAAACTGGAAAGTGGTAGATGAGGTTTCCAACCCTTGTGTTTACTGAGCTCTGGGCAGGCACTGGGGGAACAGAGGCGCCAGACCCTCCCCCTCCCACCCCCGCCTGCAGTGAACAGTGGGAACTGCAGATCAGTCACGGCAGACATCCCTGTCCATCATCAGCCACCGTGACAATGGGGCTAGCACCCCAGCTTCACGGGGTGTGTGACCTTTCATCCCCATCTCCGTGACAGTCACAGTAACTCCCATTTTGAGAGAGAACACCTACTACGCTCCAGGCAATCCAGCGCTCACCAAGCCCCACAGTGTGCCCAGCCGGGGTCCCAGGTGCCCTTGGGATAGTCGTTGACCACTAGAAACCTACCATGTAGCTGAGGAAGCCAAATCAACTCACCCAGAAGAGCCCAGCCCAGGGCAGGCCCAAATCAGAGGGAGAATTGGGGACCACCAAGGCTGTTGGCACTGGGGCCCAGCCTGCCCTTGCACTGCCAAGGTCAAATTTTGTTCTATTGGAAGAATAGGCAGGAAGCTTGGCCCCCCCATTTGATGGGCGTGGGAACCAAGGATAAGAATCAGAGCCCCCACCCCCTCTCTGTGCCTGCTCGCTTGGACTGGCCAGCTTGGGGTCCACAATGGGGGTGCGTGGGGGGAGGTCTCCTCACAGGCCAGAGAAAATTGTGCAAGTGATGTTCGGCCCTTAGTTTCTTTCAAGAGAGAAGCCCCAGCTGGACTGGGTGCCCCCGGGACCAGAGGCTCCACAGTGAGCGTGGCACACGTGTGCATCCGTGGCGGGCCTCCCAGCTTGGTCACTGCTGGAGCCTAGATGTGCCGCAGTCACCCACCAGGAGACCAGTGGGGGGTCTCGCCTGCTCCCCACTCCCTGCCCTCCCCCTTTCTCCTTGCCCTCCCCCACCTACGATTCTCAAGAAACTGCAGGGCAAGGTACCAACGACAGGCAGCTGGTGGGCAGGTCTGAGCGAGAGGGAGCCACAGCGGGCGTGGCCATGCAGTGGGTCCCCTGGCCTCCCTCTGGCCCCTGGACACCCTCTACAGGGGACAGTTTAGAACCAGGCAGGCCCGAGTTCCAGTCCCAGCCCTGCCACCCACAGATGTGAACTGGGGCGAGCCATCAGATTGAAACATGTGAAACTGCATTTTATAGATAAAAATTCCTGAATATTGGCAATTCAGTATGACTCAACCTAATACCTGGTCCATCGGTGCCCAGTTTCACTGCCGTAAAGTAGGGCCCTCATCACGTCCCTCACGGGGTTGCAGGAGGGTGAGTGCAGGGTGCGTGTGGGGTGCCTGCCCCAAGCAGGTCTTAGGAAACGTCCAGTTGTGTGGCCCGTGCACAGAGAGGGTCCCAGGGCTGGAGACACAGCTTGGAAAGGAGCGGCCTGCAGGGAGGTCGTGCTTTCCCCCGTCCACTCGCCCCGTCTGGCAGTGGAAGACCACCCGTGTTGTCACCTGGGTCTCAATGGGCGCACTGAAGCTCGGGCAGCAGATGGCCTGCCGTGGTGGGCAGCACAGCAGCGCAGGGCTTTGCCCTGGGCCCCCGCCCCCCACCCTCCCTGGCAGCCCCTGTTAGTTTCACACGAGGAAGCCACGCCAGGTGCTGGGCTGTGCCAGCGAGGAGCCCTCCTTCCCTGCTGTCGCCTCCGTTTCATTCCCAAAGGTCCAGCTGTCGCCAGGGAGGTGCCCTGCCTCTCTTCACCGTACAGTGGCCTTTTTTTCTCTCCCCCACAGGCAAAAGGCACACCTGGACGAGCCCCCGCTGTTGATGTGGCCTCCAGTGACCCCCTCTGCCTGCCCTGGGCAGAGGCCTGTCTGGTGCGTGGAGTGGGCTTTGCAGGTGGAAGAGGTTGACAGAGAAAGAGCACGCTCGCCGGAGCCACGCCCCCCGGCCCCTTCAGGCCAGTCCAGGAGGCCTCACACCCAAGCCTGTGGGACGTGACCCCTGAGTCAACAAACCAGTGGGCCAAGTCCGCAGCCCCCCACTCAGTGCCTTTTCCAGGAGCCCTCCTCACTGCCCACCCGGCCATTCCACTCAGCCGTAACCTTTATTTATTGTCCTCCCCGACCCCTCCTCAGTCTCCCCACCCCCCGTGTGTATTTCAAGTTGACCCTGGTCTTGGTTTGGGCTGGAAGGGCCTTCAGACCCACCGGGCGGGGCCCCCACATGCACTGCGGTTTCAGAGGGCACCACACGGGCTTTCTCCACGTTTGTATTAAAATAGAAGAAGAAGCCCAGTCCCGAGCATTACCCTTCAAAGCTGAGCTGGGCCCCTGGAGAGAGCAGTAGAGCCCAGAGCAGGTGGGAGGAGACTCACCCCCCTTTCCGTCCGCCTTAGAGCTGGGGGGCCTGCAGCAGCACGCTGCCCTGCCCTCCTCCCCTCACTCGGCGGCCCAGGGCTTTCTTCCAGCCCCTCCCTCCGCCTCCCTGCTTCTCTCCGCCTCTCCCCTGCCTGTGGAGCTGAGCAGGGCTCTGTTGAAGTCTGAATTCACTCACTGAAGAGCAGCGGGCCCAGGCCCCAGCTGGGGCCCGAGGGCTCCCCTACGCCATTAATTCACTTCTCTTCATTAGGTTGTTTGGCATGAAAAATACTCAGTGCAAAACACAAATGCTTCTGCAGCACCCTTCCCTGAAGAGAGAGTAAATGTGTGTTTGTGTGTGTGTTGCCTGTACCCACCCAACCTTCCTCTCCGCCCCCAGGACCCCCCCACACCCAGCCCTCCAGGCCCTGGGGCCCCCACTGTTGGCTTTTGCACCATTGCTACGGGCCGATGGTTAAAAAAAAAAACCTCACTGCTTCCCAGTGACTAGTTAGCCTCAGAATGAAAATAAAGATGAGGATTTGTGTGGAGCCGGTGTGTTCATTCCGAGGGCCACGCTCGCTCGTGCTTCTGACCTGCGTCAGGAGAGAAACGGACAGAAATGGTGACTCGCTGGTCACTGGGCGGTTCCTGGGCCGCAGTGGCGGGGACGGATTGGCGCTGTGTGTGCAGAGCTGACAGACCTAACGCTGAGTGGGGAAAAGCAAGCCATCTATGTTTTTTAAAAAGTTAAATATACATACAAATAGTCAAAACGAGTCATCCAAACTTATATATACATTTGTAGAAATGTTCGTAAAACAGACAAGGACTTCTGGTTAAGTATGGTGGGCTGAACCATGTTCTCTCTGCCCAGCAAACTCCCAGTAAAATGCATAAAGGCATGAAAATGGCATCAACTACAACAGCGAAAAGGTAGGAGAGGAAATGGCAGCACATGAGAAACACCTGGCCCTGGCCCGGCGGCTCAGTTGGTTAGAGGCTTGTCCGGATACCGCAACCTTGGTGGTTGCAGGTTCGATCCCCAGTCGGGGCACATACAAGCATCAACCGGTGAGTGCATAAATCAGTGGGACAACAGATTGATATCCCTCTCTCTCTGTCTTCCCTTCTGTCCCTCAAATCAATGAATACAAACTTAAGAAGAAAGGTCTGAAAATTTGAGAGAGAGTATAACTTGTTCAGTGCTGGCTCTCACTACTTCCCAAAACATCTGCCAGAGAGAAAGCCAGCCGCGAGCAAGCAGACAGCTCTGCAGCGTCCCCCAGACGCTTAGAGCTGGGCGGGGCCGGTGTCTCTCAGGCGGAAGTTCAGGTGCGAAAATAGTATTTTTCCTTGGAAGAAGAGGTGAGATCCCCAGGTCCCTCCTTCCAGCCCCCAGCTCCCATGGTCTGCAACTGCCCTGCCTTTCCCTGACCCCGGCAGGAGACAGGTTTACTGCTGGCCGGGGTGGGACTAGAAAGTCTGGATTGGCACCCCAAGCCAGCGAAAGACAGAGGTAAGGCTGCAGTTAATGGGGGGGCTCTCAGCACCCATCCCCCCCCAACAGCCAGGCCTGCACCCCAAGGCGCGACGTGTCTGTCTGGGAAACTGACCAAAGAGAGAAGCTGGACAGAGCCTGATGTGGGTGATCCCCAGCCTCTGCCCAGTCACCATGAGACCCCGGGCCACCGGCCCCGCCCCCGTGGACACAGCTCCCCCTGGGCTTTGCTGCGCTGCGCTGGGCAGGAACAGCCAAGGGCACCGACAGAGACCAAAACCAACCAAAATACAGACTCCCGCCATCCAGAGGAAAGGGGTCAGAGTCCAGCCCTCTGCAAATATTCACCCATGAAACAGGAAAAATAATGTCATTTTTAAAAGGAAGAGTTAAAGCTCTTAAAGTTAAAATATACAAGTAGTAGCAGAAATTTTTTTCCACACTGCTGTCTGTGTCTATGGGTTATGCATATATGTCCTTTGGCTAATCCCTTCACCTTTTTAAAAAATTATTTATTGATTTATTTTTTAGAGAGAGGGGAAAGGAGGGAGAGAGAGAGGGAGAGAAACATCGATGTGAGAGAGAAACATCAATCAGTTGCCTCCTGCTCCCAACTGGACACCGAACCAGCAACCTAGGCATGTGCCCTGACTGGGAATCGAACCCTTGACCTTTTCCTCTGTGGGACGACGCCCAACCAACTGAGCTGCACTGGACAGGGCTCCTTTCCCCTTCTTTCATCCCTCCCCTACCCAACAGCTGCCGATCTGTTCCATGTATCTATGCCTCTATTTCTGTTTCGTTGTTTTTAATAAATTTATTTTATTTTTAGACAGTGGGGGATGGAGGGAGGAAGTAAGGGAAAGAAACATCAATGTGTGGTTGCCTCTTGCATGCCGCCCACTGGGGACCTGGCCTGCAACCCAGGCATGTGTTCTGACTGGAAATCAAACCAGTGACCCTTTGGTTCACAGGCCAGCACTCAATCCACTGAGCCACACCAGCCAGGGTGATTTGTCACTATATATTTTGTTCATCAGATTCCACATATAAGTGAGATCATATGGTATTTCTCTGACTGGTTTATTTTATTTAGCATCATAATCTGCAGGTCCATCCATGCTGTCACGAAAAATAAAATCTCCTTTTTTATGGCCACAGAGTATTTCATTCCACAAAATATATCTCCACTTTTTGTATCCACTCATCCACTGCCAGGCACCGGGGCTGCTTCCAGCACTCGGTGGCTGTGAAGAATACCACACCGAACACAGGGATGCACATAGGCTTTCGAATTGGTGTTTTGCTATTCTTAGGATTTACTCCCAGAAGCTGGGTCGAAAGGCAGCTTCAATTTTTATTTTTTGAGGTACCTCCACACTGTTCTCCCCAGTGGCTGCCCAGCCCTCGTTCCCACCAGCAGTGCACTAGGCTCCCCTTCCCCCGCAGCCACGCCAGCACCGTTGTTTGTTGCTTTATCGACAGGGGCCGTTCTCAGGTGGCAGTTGGTATCTCAGTGTGGTTTTCATTTGCATCTCTCTGACGGTTAGTGAGTGAGCGTATTTTTCATATGTCTATTGACCATCTCTGTGTCCTCTTTGGAGAGGTGTCCATTCAGGTCCTTTGCCCACTTTTTAATTGGATCGCGTGTCTTCCTGCTGTCGTAGAAGTGGAAATTCTTCATACCCTTCGGAAATGAATCCCTCATCAGATATGTCATTGGTGAATACGTTCTTCCATACAGTGGGCTCCCACAATAGCAGACATTTAAAAACGCATTAGGGGGAATGGGAGGTGAGAGAAAACCTCCCAGAATGTAAAACGTGAGAACAGAAATGTAAACATGGAACAAAAAAGTCAAGAAAGTTGGACAACCAAAAGATAAGATCTGTGCAGAAGGTCTAATGTCCAACTAATAGGAATTTGAAACCAAGAAACAAAATACAGAAGGGAAAACTGTTGGAGAAATGACACGAAAATATTTCCTAGGGCTAAAGGAAATGAGCTCCCCAGTGAGAAGACCCACCGAGTGAGGGCACAGTGGCCCCCACTCACAGCCAGGAGCTCGGCCACCGCCCTGGCGAGCAGCCACACGGCAAAGCCTGAGGATGCGGATGCACGTGGTCTGCACCACAGTGCAGTATCAACGCCCGGGGTCTTGCTGAAGCAGACTCTCACTCCTTCACGAGGTCTGGGCCGAGCGGAGAGCATGTGTCTGACAAGCTCCAGGCGATGGTGCCCCAGCTGCCAGCTGGGGGGACGCACTTTGGGTGGCGCTGGTCTAGGGAAGTGGTTGTCGCCACTGGCTGCTCATCAGAATCACCGGGGCAGCTATGCAAGCACTCCTGCTGGACTCACCCCCAGAGGCTCTGGTTAATGAATTTGGGGCACAGCCTTGACGCCAGGATCCTTGAAAGCTCCCCACACAGTGCGCTGGCAGAACCAAAACCATTTCCCCATAGAAGCTCTTCTACGTGGACTCCGGGAGACGTGCAGAGAATGTTTGTAGCAACACCTGTGTATTAGCTAAAAACTGGAAACAGCCTAAATACCGTAGACAGAATAGATACATAATTGTGATACAGCAAACAGTGGACTGACGCAGTGGTGAAAATAACGGGCCACCCTCAGCAAAGATGACTCACAAACAAGGCTGTGCAAAGAACCAGACGGCAGAAAGATAAATACATCGTGCCGCCGTCTATACAGAGAATTCCGAAACACTCGCAATGTTATATATTAACATACATTTTATGCAGTGAAAGAATAAAGAGATGCACAGGAAGGATAAACAACAGATTTCAAGCTACATCTTGAGAAGAAGACATGCTATTAAGGGAGGACTTCGACTTTATTGGTAATGTTTTGGTGATCTCAGTGACAGAGAGATGAGTTTATAATGTGCACATTATAATATTTCATTCTGTGTCATACGGGGGTGGGAAAACGTAGGTTTGCAGCTGCAGTACGGCCTCTAGCAGCTGCCTGGGAAAGAATGTAGGGGAGAACTTTTCTGTTTTTTAAGAGTTTATTTCTTTATCTTTAGAGGGGAGGGGAAGGAGAGAGGGAGAGCAATATCAGTGTATGGTTGCCTCTCGTGCGTCCCTCCTGATAACTGGCCTGCAGCCCAGGCATGTGCCCTGACTGGGAATTGAACCTTGATCCTTTGGTTCGCAGGTCCACACTCAATCCACTGAGCTATGCCAGCCAGGGCGGGAGACCTTTTCTTAAAAAAAGAAGAAACAAACCTACGCATGTCTGAAAATATCTTCATTCTACCGTCACTGAGATTGGCTGAATATAAGTAGATTAAAAATCATTCCCCATCAGAATTCCAAAGATGTGGCCTCGCTGTAAATACATCACAGATTCGTCACGATGACGTCTGTGTAGAGATTCTTAAACACTCATAACTGCAAACCTCCTTTTGCCACTCCTGTATTTATTACATTTGTATTATTTTTATGTCTGAAATCTTTCAAAAGAAAAATGTAAGGAATTACATCGAGCCTTCTTATAAAATTTTAGGACACTGGGATAAAAATCCCAAAGGGGGAAAAAAAGTCCAAAAACCTTCTAAAGAGAAAAAAAATACAGGCCACATAGCAGGGGTCAGAGATTAAAACGGCATTGAAATTCTCAAAGCAGATTCTGGAGCCGGAACAGAGTGAGCAGCATCTTCAGAATTCTGACAGGGGACGATTCCTACTCTATTAGTATGTCCAGCTAAGTCCCAGTGAAGGCGGCGAGAACATATTTTCAGACGTGTGCGTGTGTTTTAAATTTACCTCCCATACAGTCTTTCTCAGGTGGCTACTAGAGGATGTGCTCCAACCAAACAAGGGAGACAACCAGGAAAGAGAATGTCGGACACAGGACACTGGAGGTCCGACAGAAGAGAGGGCCACAGGGAGTCCCCAGGAGGACGGCAGTGGCTCTCGTGATATACAATATATAAAACTGAAAAAGCAAGAAATAGGCTCAGCATAGATTTCCGTACAAAGGTGGACACCAGCAGCAGCGGCTGAGAATTCTAAGGTTGCCTAGAGA